CCAGTACTGGTAAGCAACAGAAACTCCCATTCATTGTTGATGGGAATGCAAAACGGTATAGACAATTTGGCATTTCTTACAAAGCTTACCATACAATCCAGCAATTGCACTCCTAGGTAGTTAACCAAATGAGATGAAATTTTTATATATGCACTCAAATCTGTACACACATGTGTATAGCAGCCTTATTCATAATTCCAAAAACTTAGAAGCAACTAAGATGTCCTTCAATAAATGAATGGATAACAAACTGGATCCATGTAATGGAATATCATTCAGCCATAGAAAGCAATAAGCTATTAGCCCACAAAAATGCATGGGGGAAAGAAACTAAAATGCCTATTACTAAGGGAAAAAAGGCAATCTGAAAATCATACCTACTGTATGATTCCAACTATATTATGTTCTGGAAAAGGTAAAACTAAAGAGTAAAAAGATCAGTGGTTGTCAGAGGCTTGGGCAAAGGGTGAAAGAGATGACAAGGTGGAGCACAGGAGATTTTTAGGGCATTGAAACTATTCTGTATAATGTTGTAATGGTGGATATATGACATTATATACTTGTCAAAACCCATAGAACTGTAGAAGACAAAGAGTGAGCCCTAATGGAAACATGGACTTCAGTTAATAAAAGTTTGTCAATATTACTTGTTCATTGTATCAGGTAAACCACACTAATGCAAGATATTAGTAAAAGAGGCAATTGTGTATACAAGAGGGATTATATAGAAATTCTCTGTACCTTCTGCTCAATTTTTCTGTAAATCTAAAACTTCTATATAAGAGCCCAAAGATGGGAAAATAGAATGTTCATCAATAGAAAATATATTTCTTGCGGTATAGTAAAACAATTGAGTAGTATAAAGCAATGAAAATAAACTAATTCCACTTACACAGGGATGGTCTCACAAAGACTTATCATGGAGCAGAGAAAACAGGCGGTGGGCCATCCATGCCTGAGACCAATGCCACTGAGGTCAACAATTATAGATTCAAGATTTTCCTGGTAGTAAATATTTATGCCCATTTTCAGAGCACAGTTCAAAAAATAGTATCACTAGGAAATTTTCTAGGGACTTAATTGAGAGGTGCAAGCCCGAGATCAGTCTTCACCTTGGTAGGTCTGCTGGAGAACCCCTCACGCCTCACCTCGGCTTTCTCTCCTTGCACAGCCAGCCCAGCTGTTACCGAAGCTCCCGAACGCTTCTCATTGCCTTATTCCTGGAAGAACAAGTCTCCTCTTACTCTCCTGCTCCGTCTTCTAAGGCTGATGCAATTTTTATGAAGTACAGCTCAATCACCTGATTAACCAGGTGAGAAGTCGCCATCCGTTGCCGACTGAACTAGACTAAGGACTGGCCCAGTATCCGACAGCATCTGAGCTTCTTCCCCATCCCTTTCCCCGGCCTTCCCTCTCCGCCAGAACCTCCCACGTAGATGTGACCGTCCGCATTTTGAGTCCCGGCCCTTCTATAACCGGCAGGTACCCTGTCTCCTTCTGCGACACCCGTTCTCTCCTGCTCTCTTTGGTTAAGTTTCTTCCTCCTCCCACTCCCCCCATTAGACATGAAAACGCTTTAGACCAGAAATTGTTTCTGGCTCATCTCTGTGTTTCCATTGGCATGAAGCGCTTGGGTAGATGCTGGGGACTCAAAACTAATCCTGAAAATAATGCTAAACGGCATGGGGCTCAGTCTTCAATGTCTTCTTCTCATCATCTTCGTGCTTCCTAAGGAGACGGGCCACGCAGTCCCCACAGCACCATCGGAAGTAGCTGGCGGTATTGTCCTCGCTCCAGTTGTTATACAAAATGTTTTGTAAGATCTGCTAAATTCTAAAGTCTGGCTTATTTTATACTGCTTTCCTGAGATGTCACCCATGCTCTAGCGTGCTTGTCTTTTCATTAAAAATGCTTTGTATTCAACTCGAGTCTCAGATGAATTCTGCTTGTACTTGTACTTGAAAAATATATTTGCATACATTGGGTGTTAGTCCTATTAGTGACTAACTTTCCAGCATCCAGGGTATGGGCGCTCTATTCATGGAGTAGATATAATGAAATTGTCTCCATGTTGTTAACATAATGTAAATAGAGACAACAATGTGAGTCATCATCACACAGGCATAAGTCATGGGCCAAATAACCTCTCCCAAAAGGAAAATACAGCATAGAGTGAAACTGAGCTGAGATGGACATTCCATTAACCCCATCGCCTCTTTTCCCCTAGGCTTTGTAGAAAGACTCAGGGAAGAATCTGGACAGCTCTGGAACTCTGAAACTCCCCATGTGCAAAGGCAATAGGATGCAATTAACATCCTGCATTTTTTAGTAGCTTACACAGCAGGAGAGAAATGTCTAAAAGGATATTTAAATTCAATATAGAACTCTGGCAACCACAATTTTAATTGCATACCAATTGCACAATATTTCTCTCATTGTCGAAATAGAAAGAAGGCAATAATACATGTCTGCTTATTTTAGGATTCAGTTATTAACCATGAAGAATCTTTTCTTTTTTTCTAGGATAAAAGCCTCTTCCTCCAACAAATGCATCTTGAGACTGGGACTTAATTTAAAATCCTAACTCCTGTTTTGGACAATGTCGAAACTTCAATACCTGCCATGAAAATACTCTGAACAGTATTTCAGGCACAGGATTTCAGGGCTTTTATTTTATTTTTTTAACTGACAGATAAAATTAATTTTTAAAAGTCACAAAAATGACTTTTTTTCCAGCAACACACAAACACATATATGTTTAAAAACATGCAAAATACACAGTCTGGTTACTCAATAGTAGGTCATCAGAAACACAAGCAAAGACTGGGTTGCCGTTTCCATAGCAATGTCTTTATGTAGTTCAACTCTTCTGGGAATTTAACCAAATCCCCAGTAGCAGGAAAAAATCATTAGCTAAAATTTTGTAACATATGGCAACCGCCAACAAATCAGGGACTACTTTTATAGTCTCTCCCTTTGTACTGATAGGAAGACTTTCATGTCAAGCTGTTTGATGAAGCATACAGATTTTATTGGTCACTCAGCACTTAAATCAAAATTTAAAAATACAAGGCTTCTTCCTTCTTAGAATAAAAGAGCTGTTGGTACCCAGCCAGGCTCTGTAATGCATGCATTCCAAGAGTGACATTTGGACATGGGTAAGAACTTCACGCATCTTCCCATGACTCTCCGGTTATTTACCCTAAGGACAACTCAATCTGCAGGTTATCTCCCAGGAAAGAATGCAAACAAAATTTGATTATCTATTTTGTTTTTGAAACCATCCTCATTCTGGGGTTGTGTGTGTGTGTGCATGCAAGTTTATAGTTCTACCTTATGGCCCAGTGATTAATGTAAGAGTTTTTAGCAGGAACAGAATAGATGTGGCACTTTTCATTATGTTCTTTAGTTTCACCACACCTGTATCTGGAAGGATCTTCTAAGAATCCAGTGAGAGGCCATGGAGTTGGAGATACTTAAATTCTCTCTTCAATATGGCTTTGTAAAAGCAAATACAATGAACAATATGCAATTACTATCCAAGGAAAATGGTCGTCTCAGAATAAGAAAACACGTCCAATGCCAAGGAATGCATTCCTTTCCCAGGAGCACATTCTACTTTGAACTTTCTCAATGTTAAAAGGAAGTTTCTTAGGCTGAACCTAAAGCTACTTCCCCTTTACTCTCACTGCTGACTTCAGCTGTGTACTTCCAAGGAGATACAAGTTAAGCCCATAAGTCTACATGACAGCACTTTGCAAGCCCGAGGCCAGCGTGAATCTGTGTCTCCCATTCCTTGCAGTCCAAATTTGACTCTTCCCTGCCCCTCAGTGACCTCACTGTCATTCTCCTCCCTACTCTACCTCATTCACCTCTAGAAGTAGCTTATTTTGCCAATCACTTCATTCACTCTACTGTTTTAGTGTAAAGTAGAACGTTGGCCTAAATTAGAGGTATCAATTGAAAATGCCATCAGAGGCCAGGCAGGTAAGTCAACTGTGTGAAACATCACAGGAAGTGCTGATTTTGTGGTGATTGAACAATGAGTTCCCAGCTTGAGTATTCCAATTCATTTTCTTTAAAATACTGTACACATACACACAACACACAACACACACACACACACACACACACACTGGGTCTGCAGTTGTAATCCTTGGCCTAAATTACTCTGGTAACAAACACTAAATTAATGGAATTCATCTAAAAATTTGAGAAATAAAAACAAACAAACACTTTCCCTAATTAGGCTAAGAGAGGCGAGAGGGTCACCTATGTCATCATGCCACTCTCGCTAAATATCATGGGAATGTAGCCAGTCAACATTCTCTGGACAGCACATTGAAAAAATACAAACCAAACTCATCACTGTGTCATTGCTCAATATCTTATATCAGGTAAGCTTGTTCTACGACAGAATGAATGAGGCACAGATCATCAGAAAAGACCCATCATGATTAAACCTAATAGTAAAAGAAGTTAGACTGAGTAAAAGGTGAGGACCCACCATCACAGAGCATTAAGAAGACTCATATTATTAATTTCTACGTTCCATTAGCTCTTTCCTTTGCTAAGACTTGATTTTTTTCAAAAGTATAAACTGTGCTCTCCTTCATGTTTGAAAGTCCTAGTGCTGCCCTCCAAAATGTTTGCAAATTGTCTGTCTTCCTGTTAACCACATGGGCACCTTCAGGGATCGACTAGGGACCAAAAAAAGAGTCAAGCCTTTCCTCAGATTGGTAAAAAGTAGATCACTATTTTATGATCACATGTCTTCAAGTCAACGTAAGCATTTGGTTAGTGGATAGAGCATGGCCTCAAAGCTGGAGTTTCCCTCATGCAAACTCCTCTGCAGAAACAGCTCCTTGGCTTAGCCCCACAAGACTAATTACCGAATCACCGTTCACGACTTTAAACATTCTTTCTGCAAATTAACGTTAGAGCTCTGTATCCACACCAAATTCATTCTCTAAAGAAGAGTAAACAATTTCTTGGCTTACCTCTGCCCATCGTCCTTGCTCCAGTGGGCTTGTCTGGGACAGTAAGATGGTCTAGGTTGCTACTCAAGGAAGATGTGTCACCGCCAGACAGAGGGTTCAGAAGTCCACTTTCTGACACGGCGAGGCTGTTCTCCGGGGCCCTCAGATTGTCTGCCTCTGAGGGTGCAGGTGGGTGAAGCTGCACAGCAACTGCTATACATTGTCCCACATCTTCAGTGGCAGACGAACTGTTAATGTCGCTCCAGGACTGTCTTTCTTTAGATAAAGAGGACAATGTGCTGTGTCTCTTTATGGTATTTTCCAGGGAAGAGCAGGAACACGATGTTTCACTAGGCTTGGGTAGAGATGAAGATGCCTGCTCTGCCGCCTATTTTGCACACATAAAATCAAAAAGAATAAAATAAATCATGATAAACCAGCATTCTCCACTTCTCATATTCAATGAAGGTGCCCCACTGTTTCAAAAAGTGGCCAATAATAAAACAGAATGGTTGACTGTTCCAAGAATACTGTCCCAAGAATTTTGCAAGTTCTTTATTTACTCGATATGTGCCCAGTTTTCTACATACTAGACATGGATTATCAAATACTCAATAAGTCTACCTTTTTTAGTAGCATGACATTAAAATATCTAGCTAAGATACTAACTTATCATACACATCTCTTAGTAATGATATATTTGTGAAGATATGAAAACTTTCCATTCAGGAATGTGTCAGCGAGCTTGGGAACCCATTACCCTAAATCACTCCAACCACTTCACAACTAAGAGATCAAAGACAGACCCGTAATTCACTAAATAAAACCCCAGGTATCTGGAGAAAGTAATGCCCACCTGCCAAACTATCCAAATAAATGCCAGGAATAACTTACTCATTAGCAGGATCTATAAGCGAAATATTACAAAAATACCTACTCGGGCCCAGTCCTGACACGTTCCCCTATTGTGAGCTATTTTGGTAAAACCTGGCTTCCAAGTGTTCAGCTTCCTTTTCTGCAGAGACTAAGCTCAGGCATTTTCTGTTGCTCCTGCTGATGCTACTCTAATTAGATCACAGCAAAATGAATGTCTGAGCCCAAACTGCACACGATTGCTGCGGCGCATTCCACAAGCCTCTCCGAACCTCAACACTCTGCAGGCATCAGGAATGTCTGTGGGCGGTATTCCCGATTAGGGCACCACNCATTAGGGCACCACTCAAACACAGCGCAAAGGCTTTCAATCCGTTCTCTCCAGCACCGTGCAACAGTTATAAATGTGATTTTAAATGTGGAGAAGAATAAACCAAAGAAGGGGGGAGGGGGAAGGAGTGAGAAGAAAAACTGGAGAAAATGAGACAAGATTACATGTATCAGGTCAGAGGGAGTTTTCATGAGAAGAGAAACTGACAAAACATAAGTCAAAGCGAACCCGGGGCGCCCCGCAGAGGACCCCACACGGGAACGTGCTTTACAGACAGCGTGGTGCTCAGTCACCGCTCACTATTTCCACCCTCCTGCAGCGACAAAGAGCTGTAGCCACATGTCAAACACAAAACTCCTAGCTCCGTGCCTTCCCCACTGCAAATGAAATGAAGGTAGAAAGGAGGGGCAGTCACACCCTGTGTGGCTAACTGGAGCCCATCCTCCTAGTATCAGTTCAGGGGCAAGCTCCTCCCAGAAGCCTGCTCTGGGGACCCCAAGGCAAGGAGGTACCTCTGCCTGATGCTCCCGGGAGCACTTCTGTCATACCAGGTGGCATATAATTTTATCTGTCAACTGACACTGTAATTGCTGATTGACTTGTTCATCTTTGCTGGTGTTCCTTGAGAACGGGCTGCTTTTCATTGTTTCCGCATCTCCGTTTGTTGCATCTGTGCCTGACACATAGTTGGTCACAAACTAATGCCAACGAAGAGCAGACAAGAGAGCCAGCTGTATGAAGAAAACCAGCCCTAAAACTTTTACTAGGCCTGTCAAAAAGCTCCCATTTCTAATTTCTCTGTTAATAAATGGATGCCCTATCCGCTATCCACCCTGTGAAGCCTTCTCAAGAAAAAGAAACAAACGAAAACCTCCTGTTCACTCATGGAAGACCCTGAAGTGCAGAGTGTGATTCAGCCACTAGATGCAGAGGTCCAAATGGGTCTTGTGCTGAAGTCTTCCTGCTTATCTTTACTTGATAGCCATTAGAATGATTGGATTTTTTAAAAATATATCTTTCTGGATACTGAATTAAAATTTTAAGTCAAGATTTTAAAATTTTTGAGAAAATTCTCCAGAATAGTATGATTTTATACTTTTGAGTGCATCATTCCAAAATGAAAATTTATTGCCCAAATTTTTTAAAGCAAGAACTTGGGGGTGGTGGGTATTTTTTTCACCTAGGCTTGAACAGCTCAGTCAAAGCTAGACTCTGCTAGATTGAGCCAAAACAACAACTCGAGTCACACTCTGGATAAAAGTTACTATGATTTTTTTAAATTTTGTCTGTTTAAATAAAAAGCTTAAATGTTATTTTAAGCAAGTGTCTTACATGTCTGCTTTTCAGAAACAAGAAGAAATAAAAACAAAATCTGCCTGGGAAAGATGCAAGAATGAGGAAAATATTCTATTTCTAAGAAAAATAAAATCTAGCTCTTCAATATTTATCTATCTCTAACATATTTCTTCAGGAAAAAATGCTAGCCTCAGTGGCCTTCCAAAAAATGCTCAACATAGAACTCAAAGATATAACACTTGATTGATGACTCCAAACTTGTAAAGAATCCTCCCACTTCAATGACGTAACTTACTGGCCTCATAAGCACCCCTTCAATTATTTGTTTTAAAACAGCATTCCCTGCAACATCAAGTAAGGCTGTCATTGCACAACGCAACTGAGCCATGAGCATTCACCTAAGATAATTGGTTGCATTTACTTTCATTAAGTAAAATCGTAGGTCCCTGACAATGCTTTTAGTAAATTAATCTGTGATACTAATTTTCCATCAAGAAAATGAAAATCACAATATTTTAGAACTAAAATAAATCATGTAAGCATCATATATGAGGCACTGTGGGAAAGAGAGAATTTCAGGAAGAGATGGAGAGAGAACCAACCAAATCCTTGTATATTACAGGTTAAAATAAGAGAGAGAAACAGAAAGAGAGAAAAAGAGAGAGAGGAACAGAGCGAGAAAGTAAGCTGAAATATCTGTTTCTTTATTAAATCTACAAGGAACATCTAGGTAAGACCTACTCAACTTCCCAAGAAGCAATAAAGGGTCTCCCAGTAAGAACACTATTAAAAGCTGAGAGACACTGTAAGGTCTAAAGATATCATATGTTTGATATAGAAAAAAATAAAAGGTTTTTCTAAATTCAGAAACTGATTTTAAAAGAGGAAGACTACATTAAGAAAAAGCTATGAACGTATGAAGAAAGGATAGATTGCAAGACTAGTTCAAAAACTGGTCAAAAATTTACCATATTCAAAATTTAATTTTATTTATATCTTGCTTAATTTTGGCTAATCCTATTTAATAGAGATTTTAGAAAACCATATTCATTCAACATATTTATTTCTGGTCTTGTCTGCTAGCCAAATAAATTAGAAACGTGACCATAATCCTGCACTGACAGAGGGTAAAACAGTAGAGGTCATTGTTTAAATGATATTTAACACCTTAAATCCAGGAACTGGCAACACACAAAATTAACATCCATTGGATGCTTTCAAAGTTTAGAATCAAACCTGGACTTTTCTCCAGTGCATATGCAGACTCATTTCACATGCAGATTTAATGCACTAGTCCCACTCCTGGCTTCCTGCTCCCTTTCTGACTCTAGTTTCCTCCTATTGTTATCTTCGGCCCCTTTAACTCATTTCCCATTGCAGCACATGCACCCAGCAAGCACTCCAATTCTCTCTGAGAATAAGTAGGGTATAAATAAACGTTATAAAGCAAGCCTATTCAAGCGCTGGCCTATCACCAGGAGCCCTTCACATCACCATGGATCCTCTGAGAATGGCACATCCGTGGGTCACGCACAAGTACTCCCAGTCTGTCATTCCAGGGTTGCCATGGAGAAGGCTCAGAATCAGCACCCTGAGAATTGCACTTGCTCTGTGGCAAGTATCTTAATTTAGTCTGTTCAAAAAATTTATCAGTCAAGGTAATTTCTATCCCGTTGGAAGGAGTGACAGCCATGCACTTGATCAATGAACAACAGACTACTGACGTCGGTACATACCAAAGGGGACACGGTCTCCGCCGAGCAAGGAGGGGCTGCCGCCTCCATGGCCACTTCAGGGTCGTCCGGTTCACTCTCACTGTAGCACTCTAACAAAAACGAAAAGCCCTCTTTTTCAGCGCCGCTCCCACTTGCTCCAGATGCGTGAGCAGAGGTTTGTCCACCTGGCTACTGTGCTCCCGGCCCACTCAGAAAGTACTTATCTAGTGAGCTCCCGGGTGCAAGCGGGTTACAGAAGAGGGGAAAGGAAGGGCCACATCAGGGTTTCTGTCCCCAAGGAGTGCCCAGCACACGCAAGGGGACTAACTGTAGCTCAGGCAAAATGAAATAATTCCTCAAGGGATGGGAATCATTTACAAAGGGCTCATGAAGTCAGTAGTGATTAATTCTGATCACAGGAATCATAATGAGCTGAAGTTGGAAAAAGTAAACTGTCACTGGTACCAAGAGTGATGTTAGTACCCGGCCAACGGTGCAGGCCGAGCCAGGTACATGGAGCCCCTAAAAGAGATGGTGGGAAGAGAAACTGAACCATCCCTTGAGGCCGTATCATGGAAGGCCTTATGCACTGGGATGAGAGGCTTTTATGTAGTTATTCCTTTGCCTTGCAATCTATAAATGTACGTTAAAACTAGAACGATCTATTTTAGGGAAAATAGGACCAGGGAGATAGTTAGGACATTGATTGCACAGTATTGCAATGTACCTCTTTATTGTTTTAAACCAAGTTGCCACTTTTCTATTTCTATACTAAGACCGTTTGATTTTCTTATCCAAAGATAAAACTCCCTAGTTCCAATGCCGGAGTTTTACGGGGTTTAAGCATTTCAGAATAGTATCAGCTCCACAACCCTGGCACCTCACACCTCCTTCATTTCCATATTAAGGAGCATTGGCACCATTAAGAAGCATTAGACACCTGTACATGGGAACCCTGAAAGCCACTGACCGAGCTAAAGGACTGAGACTCGGCCTGTGTCCCAATCTGACCTTCAGCTTCCTAATACAGACTCTGGGTTATTATTCTCAGCACACATGTGGTGGAAGTATTAAAATACCAGAAAGGAAATAGTGGGATGAAAGTTATCTGTCTAGATCATGATGAGATGGTGCCTATGAGTAAGAATCCAGTAAGTGGGGCAATAAAAGATTTGCATTGGCAATTGCTGGAGATGTCACTGAAGCCTACAGCTGCTAACGAGTGGGTGAAGTGTGAACATCATTCGCAGCCACCAGAGGAAGCTCTACTCTACTCTGGTGAATCTGTGTGATTATGTTTCTACATATTTTCAGATCATTTTAAATGCCAAAGTCTGTTTCATTAGGACAGGACTATGCCTAGAACTTGATGTCATGTTTTTATCTTATTTCATTCTATTCTAATTTTCTTGCTAAATTTTCAGAAATTTAACAGAGAACATACCTTCGTCCTTTGTAGTGGAGTCTTGACGGATTACAGATAATCCAAGCTTGTTTAACCACCTAAAAATTTAAATAGAAAATAAATGTTTGACCATAGAGAATAGTCATCCACTTATCCACCTTTCCCCTGGACCCCAAAGGAAGGTTTCTGGGCCAGACTTTATAATAAAATTGAGTCATAATTCTACAGTCAGTCTAAACATTCCCAGAAATAGCATAAATTTGTGGTATCAAAACCGAAGACCTCTGGTTTCACAATATTTTTTTTACTGGAGGCATTCTTTGCAAGGAAAGAAAAGAAATGAGGTGGCCCATTATCCATTTGGCTGCTGTAGGCAGCTACATTACATATTCTAAATATGTGAACAGATACATCTTTTGCAATTGTACATTTGAAATTTTTAGCAACCATGACAATCTTTATTATTGTTTACCAACTTAGCCATTAAAATTTTATCTGTGTAATTCTTAAAGTGTCCATTTATTTCACACACAAAAATAAAGATGATACATTTTTAAACCAGGATTTTTATAATAATCAGTAAAATATCTGGCTAGAGCTGGACAGGTATTCATAAACAGGGGAAAATATTAATTCCTTAAAGAATTTCATGTAAGGTAAAAATTGTCAATGTCATCTCTTCTATTGATTTACCATTTTGTTGGCAATGAATTCCAACTAAACATCAAAACAAAAATAGAACTAGACAAACCTTAAGGAATTCAAACTNTTATTCACCTTTCCCCTGGACCCCAAAGGAAGGTTTCTGGGCCAGACTTTATAATAAAATTGAGTCATAATTCTACAGTCAGTCTAAACATTCCCAGAAATAGCATAAATTTGTGGTATCAAAACCGAAGACCTCTGGTTTCACAATATTTTTTTTACTGGAGGCATTCTTTGCAAGGAAAGAAAAGAAATGAGGTGGCCCATTATCCATTTGGCTGCTGTAGGCAGCTACATTACATATTCTAAATATGTGAACAGATACATCTTTTGCAATTGTACATTTGAAATTTTTAGCAACCATGACAATCTTTATTATTGTTTACCAACTTAGCCATTAAAATTTTATCTGTGTAATTCTTAAAGTGTCCATTTATTTCACACACAAAAATAAAGATGATACATTTTTAAACCAGGATTTTTATAATAATCAGTAAAATATCTGGCTAGAGCTGGACAGGTATTCATAAACAGGGGAAAATATTAATTCCTTAAAGAATTTCATGTAAGGTAAAAATTGTCAATGTCATCTCTTCTATTGATTTACCATTTTGTTGGCAATGAATTCCAACTAAACATCAAAACAAAAATAGAACTAGACAAACCTTAAGGAATTCAAACTTAGCTTATGACTTCCAGCTACTATAGTTCCTTCTCAAGGGTTTTGCTAGGAACATATTTTATAACACTAATTTTTAAAAGATATAAAATGTCTTCTTCATATGCCCCTAACTATACAACCTTCTATTTAAACAGAAATTATTATTTTGGGTCAGTGATAATGTAAGCAATTTATTTTCCACCTCTTTCTAGTTTTCTGTATTTTAAAAAAATATCCCATATTGTGTATTATTTTTGAGAAACCAGAGCATTTAGTAGTGGCCTAAGTCTACCAATCCCAACAAAATAACAATAACAATGCTATGCACTTAGAGATTCACTTATACTTTTCACCGTGACAGAAGTATTGCACATTCCCAACAGTCAATAAAATAGGAATCTTTACCCAGTGCTCCACCTGCCACAGCCTTGCTGCATTTTTCACAGAAAATGTATAATACATTTCATTTTTTTAAAATGAGTGCAATAGGACTACTTACAAGGAAAAGATGAGCTCTACCCAGCCTCATTTATGAATCCCCTTTAGCACCATGAGAAACATCTACACTCTAACACTGGAACAATACCTGGGCCCAGATCACGCCATAGGAACTGGAAAATGTTCATCATGACCCAACAGAATAATAAATGAAACAAGGAAACAGGAAATCGCAGAAAATACGAATGGCCAATACACATACGGAAAAAATTCTCAGAGTCAAAGGAGTTCTGGGTAATGCATATTCCAACACAAGAAAATATATTTCACCACTAGCTGCACAAAGATTTTAAATATCTCTGATTTCTAGAATTTAGGAGAAAACATTCTTATCCTTTGTTGAGCTGAACATGAAAACTGATACAGCCAATTTTAAGCAGCTAATTCCATGATACTATTCAAAAGGGAAATAACTGTCCCTTTTGCCCAACAAGTCTAACTATAAGTTTCTAGCCTACAAAAACACACGTCATGACACAAATAAATGGGGAAGAATGTTAATTCAACAAGCCTTGCAATGGCCAAAAGAAAAATAACATTAATACAATATAATAGCCCATCAAGAAGAAAATGGATACATAAAGTATGACACTGTCTCCCCCAGTACCATGTTGTAATGGAGCTAATAACAAGGCAGATGTGGGCCTTGTAATGACCTGGAAAACCCCTACCATCCTGTGAAGCGGAAAAAGAAAGTCAACACAACATGTATGGCCTAACTCAATGTACTTTTAAAATTATATATTTGTATATATGCACAAATAGTATGCGAAGAAAGCATCAGGAAAGAGATACAATATACTGCTCAAAGTGGCCAATCTAGGGAGAGAAGTTGGGGATATGGGAAGGTTTTCCCTTTGCATACTTCTGTAGTATATGATTCTGACCAGAAAATGTTTTATGTATTACCTAACTAAAAGAAATACTGAAAGTACATTTTTAAACACTATCAGGCAAAGCACAATGAATTTAATGGTTCACTTTTAAAATACCAAAATAAACCAATTCTTAGCTTATACATAATTTCATAATTATATAAGCTGATCCTCCCCCATAAAAGCATCCAAAAGTGAAATAGACCAAAAAATGTTAACATATTAAGACAAAAATAGTTTTAAATTGAGAATGCCTGAAACAAGCAAAGGCATTGCTAAGTTCCTTCCAGAACATGGAAATACAGAAACATAGCACAATGGAAGAGTACTGACAGTAAAAAAAGATTCCTCTAAGCCCTTACTCAAGAAACCAGGCCCTGCCCGGCCGGGCGTGGCTCAGCGGTTGAGCATCGACCTGGGATCCAGCGGATCGCTGTTCGATTCCCCGTCAGGGCACAGGCCCGGGTTGCGGGATCTGTACCCAGCAGGGGGTGTGCAGGAGGCAGCCGATCGATGACACTCATCATTGATGTTTCTATCACTCTCTCTACCCCTCCCTTCCTCTCTCTGAAAATCAATAAAGATATATTTTTTTAAAAAANGCTCATCATTGATGTTTCTATCTCTCTCTCTACCCCTCCCTTCCTCTCTCTGAAAATCAATAAAGATATATTTTTTTAAAAAAAGGTCCTTTTAATTGCCGTTATTAGTTACTTGCTGTGAAAAACTGGTGACTGATTAGAATCTTGTTTGACTGTTCTGTTTCCAGAACCCACTGGCGTAGAGTACCTCCTTTGCTAAGAACGTTTTTTTAAACATCGAGGCAATAGAATATTTTCTANCCAGAACCCACTGGCTTAGAGTACCCCTTTGCTAAGAACGTTTTTTTAAACATCGAGGCAATAGAATATTTTCTATCTGTGGCTAAATAGATGGATGCACAAAAAGACTGATATTTACACAAAAGATGACAGATGTTTCCTGGGAGTTTGTTGTATGTTGACTTGACATGAATGTGTGTGTTGGAGAAACACAGTGTTAAGAAACTGATGTACAAAACAAGAACATTCGTCCCACAAGCACCGTGGGAGAAAGGCAGCTACCACCAGCCTTAGCTTAGGAACCAGCTCTTTCATTTCCCTTAATTACCTAGCCCTGTCCTTATCAATTGAAGGTCCCTTCAGAATACACAGCTTTTCTATTCAGCTTAATTGTCTTTCCCTTCATCGTCCCTGAGAGAAGTGTCACCATCCAAAACTGCATTTTCCCAAGGAGGAAAACTCCTAAAACAGGGCTCATCCCCCCAAATGCCCCTCCCTCC